TTTTTCTTGTAAAACCTTATTTCATAAAGCATTTTTTAAATTAGTTTATCAGTAGATATTATTTGTCTACCCCTTAATTACTGTTAATTTATTTAAAAATCAAACTTTTCTGTTACTTTACTTAAACCTATATTATAATTTTACTCTGATTACTGATAAAAGGCTATACTATAAATTTTAAAGAATGTCATACATTATTATGTAAAGAGAAAAAACACAACAGTTGATTAAAATAAATAAAATAAGTTGATTTAAATAATAAATTAATAAAAATATTTGTTCTAACCAATATTTTATTTATTTTAATTTGTAGCTATGAAAATAGCTGTTTGATAAGTATTATAAACTTGAACTATAATACTCTTATAAATATGGTTTTTCTTTACATCTGCATAGATTGATAAAATTCTGATGAGAGGAAATATGATTGTAAATCTCAGCTATCCCAAATATTTTTCTTGATCTTGTTTGGTTTTTTTAATGATGATTGTAAAGATTCTGCTTTTGTTATTTTTTTTTTGTTTTTCAAATTTTTCTTTTACTCACTTTGTGTATGAATGTGAATGAACACGAATAAAAAGCATCACTATATAATATAATAAAGTTTTAGCAATTTCTTTGTCTATTTCTGTTTCAGGAAGGTCACATATTTGATAAAAGCAGGACAGCTTGACAAAACTGTTATTTAACAATTGTGAAACCAATACTTTACTGTCAATTTTTCAAATATTTACGCTACTATATATTCTAAATTTTTTTTCACAATCACTAAAAATATTTATTACTTGTTTATTCATTTTCCTCTATCTCTATCTACTAGTTTTTGTTTCTCTTGAGTTTATTAAAAGTGCATTATTGTTTTAGGTTAAAAATGATTTTATCTAATACTTTGAATGAAAAACTTATAAGAAGAGAAATCATAATATATGTGGTATGGACGATAATTAAAAAAAGTTGCGCAAATAAAATACTATTTTGTTTTTAATTCTTTTACAAACACATTTTAGAACTTTAAAATATAACAAAAATGAATTCAATTTGGAAATTGTGTGTAAAAAATAATAATTAGGGTTTTAAACAAACAAACAAAAAAATCTATGACTCCATGTAGTAAAACTCCGATGAATTAAATGCACTTGAATAAATGATCAAGTCTGTATAGTGTGCCTAGAAAATCGTGTTTATTTTAAAGATTCCAAATACCACAGAAAATGGAGAAGACAAGTTTCGACTAAAACAAGATTTGTTTTTCTTGGTATACATTTTTCTTTTTGTTTTCTTTTTTATTTGCTTACTACCCATATTAATACTTTTTGTTGCATGTTTGTTTTTTGCTTTATTTGTTTACTTTATTGTGTCACTCTAATGACTAGTTTTTTACAAGTGACACCAAACCTATTTTTAAAATAGGTTTTGTGTCACTCGTATACAGATTTTACAAAATCTGTATACAAGTGACACAAAAAATTAAAAAAAAAATTACAGATTTATAAAAAATCTGTAATTTTTTTTCCATATTTTGATTAAATAAATTGATAAAAAATATAAAATCTTTTATATATATATATATATATATATATATATATATATATATATATATATATGGGCTATTATAGACTGTTTAATTTTAAACAATACTACAGTATAATATATATATATATATATATATATATATATAATATATATATATATATATATATATATATATATATATATATATATATATATATATATATATATATATATATATATAATATATAATATATATATATATATATATATATATATATATATATATATATATATATATATATATATATATATATATATATATATATATATATATATATATATATATATATATATATATATATATATATATATATATATGGGCAATTTATGTTATTTAAATTATTAAAAATGAACCAAAACTGAAAATGACTTTAAACTTCCCAGAAATGTGGAATACTATTACATAATTTAGTATGCAAAAGTTACAGTATTGAAGTCTTATACTTTTTTCAAGAATCAACTCTGCATAGCGTGGCAGTCGTAACGTTTACTTTTTACAACTTCTGAACAAAACAGCTTTGTCAAACTAATTGCAGCGAACTGCATTGTAAAAAAAAAATCATTCGGTATGTGTATTTAACACATATTGATGTTATTATATGCTGAATTTCATTGACTTTAATTGATGCTTTACGGTTTTTGTTGTGACAATCATAACCGTAGCGGTCGTAACAAAAAATCTAGTCTTGAAAAACAATAAATAAAATCAAGCAATCAAAAAAAAAGATGAATAATTATAAAAACCATGTCAACTATGTCAAAGTATAAACTTAATAACATTTTCAAAGTTCTCATTTATGGTTTTTTGATAATGGGTTCGTTAAATTTAAAACTTCTACTTGACTTTTTTGCTTGTTTTTATTTCTTTTGTGTTCTTTGATAACTGCCTTCTTTAATAACTTTCCTTTCTTATTATGTTATTAGATTTAACTTTTGAGATTAACATTTTGTTATTATTAAAAAAAAAAAAACGCAAAATTTATAATTAAAAGAAACGCAAAATCAAATAAACAAAAATGTTGCATTGCAAACTATAAAAAAAGATTAAACAAAAAAAAGTTTTCTTTATGTTAAAAGTTTTAATTTCTCAACAAATGATAATTTATTTACATCAATTATTTTAAATAAGTGATTTATGTCTTAAAAAGAAATTATTTTTAATTTTAAATTATTCTAAATTACTTTAACAAGCTTAGCAATATTATGAGCAAATGATTTTTAACTTGGTTTTAATAATGAAATTGTTCGCGCTGAAACTTTTTATATAGATGTCAAAAAGCCGTTATGGAAAAACAAACTTAAAGTGATGTACGCAATACAAATAGTATTGCGTACTAAGGTAAGCAACCTGATGTCATACTGAAATAGCCTGCTGCTGGGGGCTTCAGTACATACATCGACTGACAAATAGCCTGATTCGCAGTGGAGTGCTGCTACATTCATAAATTCATAAATTCAATATGTTATAAAATCCTTTTCTTATAAATTGATTTTTCTAAAGTTCATATTGTTTAGTATTTCTTTTATATACTATAAAAACATAACATATGAACTTTAAAAAATTCAAAACATAAGAAAAGATTTTTATACCATTTAAACCCTTATAATATTCTATATTATATAGGGTAGATATGGTATAAAAACCATTTCTTATGTATTAAATTTTTTAAAGTTCATATTATATAGGAAACTAGTTTTCAGAAGTACCTATCTTTAATAAATATCTATATCTATTTATAACAGCATCCTTAATCAGCACCTAAATTATAGAGAATTTTTTGTAAATGCACTTCTTTAAAAACATTCAACACTTTAGTTCCAGTAAAATAAATATGAATATAGTAAAATCTCTAATATGAAATTATATAAGTGTATAATTTCTCCTCGTTAAAAAGAACTCTTACACATATATTAATGTATTATAGAAAACTTTGTTTTATGCTAATATCATCTTGATTTGATTAGAAGTAAATAAGGTGCTCTGTAAATTATAGTCTATTCTAAAGTATACTAAAACATACTGTTAAAGTCCATAATTTAAAGTTACAAAACTTCTCTTTTTTTTAAAAGTCTTAAAAGTAGAGGTAATAGACTGTCATTTATTAAAAACAGATTTTTTCAGTAACAAAACAACAGAAAAAGTCTGATAAATACTACGGAGTTTTTTTACAGTGTACGTCAAAAACTCTATTTATGTACTCTGATAGAAATAAATCAAGGTAATTGCAACAATTACCACTTAAATTAACAAATGTTGGAAAGGTGACTGATTGGTAAATAGTTTTTACTTCATGTACTGATGAACTCATGATCTGGAGCACCTTGTCCACTAGAGCATAAAGAAATGTTATCCAATTTCTGTACAGTTTTGTTATAATTAAAGTTCCCAACACTACACATACCTGAAAACACCCTTTTTTTAACTAAGTTTGAGGCTGCAACAAAGCATTTCAAAGCAGTTTCAAGTAATTGTATATCATATTGCGTGTCGCTTGGTTAGGGTGGAGACCTATAAATGCAACCAAATAAAATTGTTTCTTTATTAAATCTGATTTTGCACCAAACTTTTTCTAACTTTGTACTACATAATTCTATGTTTGTAATCTCAAAAGAATTGATTTCATCTGACACATATATAGCCACTCCCCCGCCATGACTGGGTCTATTTTTATTGAACAGTTTGTTCAATAAAAATAGACCCAGTCATGGCGGGGGAGTGGCTTTATATTTAGCCTAATTTGGTTGATAATGATATGTTTTTTAAACTACTGCTGGTTGATTGGTGCAGAACGTGCACTTTGGGCTGGTTTCCAACCCACAAGCGGATGAAGACTCTAGTTCTAACAATATTTCAAACTTATCAAGAAAATTAATAAAAATTTATTAAATCAAAAAAGGAATAATGTTTTCTGTGTTTAGTGAAAAATTATTTATTGCTGGTAGATTTATGTAAAAGTCAACACAGTCTAAACTAACTGCAGAGTTAGTTTAGACTGTGTTGAAAAAAAATAAAAATAAAATTTTATGTTTATATTAAAATACACCAATTAGAGAATACATACATACATACATACATACATACATACATACATACATACATACATACATACATACATACATACATACATACATACATACATACATACATACATACATACATACATACATACATACATACATACATACATACATATATACTTACATACATGCGTATATAGGTGTATGAACAGACACTTTAAGCTTTTGCAGTTAGTTATTGTTGTCACTTACTTATATGAAATTCAATAAAACTTGTTGATAATAATAAAAAAGCTAATAATTATAATAATAATTTTATTAATAACTATTATGATATTATTATTTTGTGATTTATAACAGTAACAAAATAATAATAACATTAGTTACTTATGATTTTTTTTTTACCATAGTGTTATGGACGCAATGGAAAACATGGTCAAGTTCTAATGGTTCTTATGAATTGATTAACAGAACAAGAGAATGCAATGTTTCAAATGATCTAGATTGGTGTTATGGTAATAATGCTGTTATTGTAGAAAATTCAGGTATTGAGTTCAACTAATTAAAATTTAGTAATAAAAACATGTTATTTTAATTAATTTTAATTTATCATTACAGTTATGAATTATCTAACCGCTAACATCTAACATCTTTTAAAGTTAAATTTTGTTTAAGTTAAAATTACTTAAAATTTTTTTATAAAATTAGAACTTTAAAAAAATGAATCTGCTTATAAATTAGTTTTAACTTATCTTTTGGTGTTTTATTCAAAAATTTAAATCTGAATTTAAATAGAAATTAGGGTGACTATCTATAACACACAGCTTTTTTAATAGACTAAATATTGAATTTCTAAAATTACTTTAAGTTTTTTAAATAAATAAATTATTTAACTAAATTATTTAGTTTAGTTATTTTAGTGGTTAATAATTTTAAATATTTTTAAAAATGATTAAGAATTTTTCAAGTTAATAAAAATTTTCAAAAAAAAAAAAAAAAAAATTTATTCTACTTTTTGTTTAAAAATTATCAACAAACATGTGCTGCATCATGCACCTATAAACCAAGCAAAACTACATTTCAACTAAATTTAAATTTACAACTTATTTACAAAATATTTCTTATACTATTTATTTACATTGTGTTGAAACTAAAAAAAAAATTTCCTTTTTTTCAAATAATTTGTGTGAAAAAATTGAGTATGGCAATTTAGATACCAGTCCAACTTTATCTCAATTCATTTTAATCTGCATAATAATATATGTTTTTTGAAAAAAACTATTTTGAAAATTCATATCTAATTTTCAAAATCCTGGTCGATCAAATTTTTATGCTCTTGTTTTATGATCATGATATAGTTGGATTATTGTTCTTAATTTTTTTTTGAGAATGTAGTTCTAGTGAAATTTAAATGGCACTTGTCAACGAAATTCTTCCTGTGTGCTATCACCTGTCAGCTGATTGCCTATGTCATGACATGCTATGACTCCAGACTCCTGAACTGTTTGCTGTGGTATTATAGTTCGTTTCGTTTTTAAGACATGTAAAATTAGGAACACTTATTAGCATTGTTTTATGTTGGTTGGAAATGTTTTGTTCAATACTGTATAATTTCATTTTTTTTTTATATAAAACATATAAAGAAATACTATTAAACAATAGTATTTTGTTAAGTACAAAATCGTTAAAATAGTCACTTTTGTTACGTTTTGGCTAGACTGAAACTGCAAGAAAAACTAGAAATTGAATATTAAACAATAAATGAATGAAGTTTGTCTAGAGTAAAAAAATAATAAAATATATTCTATTCCTTTAAAAAAAACACAAGAGCGGAGAGCCGCTTGATTTTTGCGGCTCTGGCTCGGGCTCTACCTAAATACAGCGACTCCCCGGTTCCACGGCTTTGGCTCGGGTCCACAAGCCTGGAAATAACCAGACTAAAAAAAGAATGCATGAAACAAGAATGCAAAAAAACTTGCATCCTTGTTTTTTGCATTAAAAAAAAATTGTTAATTAAATATTTTATTTTATTAAATTTACATTACTTAGAACTCAAGATGATATTAGCATAAAACATTAGTATATGTGAAAGTTTTTTCAATTATGACTATTAAAACTTAGAGATATTCCTTGCAGGACTCATGCATTTTACATTTTATTTTTGAAACATTGCACTCATACTTTTATAAACTGTTGACAGAGAGTGAAATGCATCTGCAAGATTTCTCATATTTCTAAATCAAATAATAAGTACTCTTTAAATTTGATTTGTATTCTCTTACTTTAATAATAATAATAATAATTATAATAATAATAATAATAATAATAATAATAATAGCAATAAAAATAATAATAATAATAATAATATAAATATTCTGAGAATAATAATAATAATTTCTAGAATGTATAATAGTTTTTAAGGTTTGTGTACATCAGCTATTAAATGACTACTGTTTGACATTACGTGAATGTTCTAGAAGTTTCTTAATGGTTCTACATAATTCTGGAAAATTCTAGCTGTTTAAAAGTATTTTAGAAAACAAATCAGTGTTGTCATCAGTGAAAATGCAAGTTAATAATTGTCTGTAGAAAAGCAATTTTAAATTTTCTTAAGAAGAGTTTTAAATTATCATTATTATGATCACAGAATTAAAGATATTGCAGAACAACATCTATTTTTTTTTGTTTTAGCATAATATTTTTTTTGTTACTCACCTCTTCAAGGTTAAGAGGGCCTCTACTGTCAGGATGGCTATTTTGTTGTAGTAATCCACTCTTAACAATTTAACTTTGAAACACAAACCTTGAAAACAAAACTGCTGTGTTGAGAAACAATTTAAGTGTGATACTACTATGGGCATGGTGGGGATTGAACTTAGAACTTCTTGCTTGTGAAGTGAACACTTACCACTACATAAACAATAGCATAAACAAAGTAATAGCGAGATAAACACATCTTGTACCCTAGAGCAAATAAAAAAAATATATTGTTACATTGTGTAATAAGGTATGATATCCAGTGCCTGATTCTTGTTTCACTTTATGTCTGTTACAAATGCACTTTTTATTAATTTAAACTAACATTGGTTAGTATAGTTTTTATATTTTTATTATAGCCTTTTGGGCACAATGGAATGATTGGTCAAACTGTAATAACACTTATGGATTTAGAAACAGAATAAGAACCTGTATTGTTTTGAATGTTATGGAGCAGTGTTACACCTCTAAATCTAAGTCATTGGAGTTCTCTGGTAAAAATGTCTTTACAATTAAGTATATAGATTTAAATAAAAAATGTACAAAATTTGCTCGAATTGATTTCTACAATCAACTTTAGTAACAAAAATTTTTCATATAAAAAATAGCTTTAACTAGCTACTTTATAATTTTATTTGGTAGAATATGGCAGTAAGTATTTATAAAATTTTATTTGGTAGAATATGGCAGTAAGTATTTATGTTTGATTATCATATTTATCACATTTGCATAAAAATTCATCACAATTTAATTTGCTTTTTTATTTTTATTTATAATTGCAGTTATAATATAGTACTTATTAAAAAAAAATAATCAATGTCAGAAAAATAATTAGTAATTAGTTACAGTATGTAAATTAACCACTAGTAATTTAGTATTTTAATATAATCATGGTCCGATAGCAGTGTACAAGTTTCACATATTCACAAAAGTTTTTTTAAGAGAAAATTTCTAGTGAAAAATATAACTAGAGTACTACTTTATAAGAAAAAAATTAAATAAAGTTTAATTCATAACTTAATTTGTTTTAGAAGTCTATTTAATGGAAGATAAAATTGAGCTTTCAAAAGGAAATATTGTTGCAACAATAAAAAAACTTAAAAAGGAGTTTTCAGTTTTTTTTGAAATAAAACCAACTATTTTTTCATATGATTTCCACAATGTCATTCATATTACTACTGGAGATATCCAATCAAGTTATGGATATCGAAATCCAGCAGTATGGTTTGATAATAGTGGAACAGGAAAGTTATGGATTTGTTATGACATAAATGGTACTGCTGATCATTGTATGATAACAAATGCTGTTAAATGTAAAAGATGGTCTTCAATAAAAATATCACAAAGCTTTTTCCAAGGGAATTATATTTACTCAACTGAACTAAACGGTGAAATAATATTTACTGAGATTAATTCTGATGCAAGAGAATTTTCAAATGTTAAAGTTTACATTTCAAATTCTTGGAACGATGTGCAACAAGGTTTTATTCGAAATTTAAAAATAATAAATGGAAATCCAGGTGAGCAAGGATAACTTTTATAAAAATAATTTTTTAAGATTATTATTATTTCTTGAATTTTTATACTTTATATGCATTCATGCATGAATATACAAAATCATGCCTGATAATTAAGCTAGAAACTACTTTTTTTAAATGTTACTTCGCCTCCCCAAGGCCATGGAAGCCACTACAGTTGAGAAGGCTACTTTTAATTGTTGTTACAACCTTCTCTCAATTCTATAACTCCCAAAAATGAACCTTGACAAACAAGGCCACTGCACCAAGAAACAAGTTAAGCGCTGTATTATCAAAAATATATTGGTGGTGAGTAAACTCAGAACCTAAAAAATTTTTTTAAATGCAGGCATGAAAATAAGTTTCTCTTAAAAAAAAAAATTATAAAAATTAATTTCCCATTAAATAATGGCCGATTATTAATAGCAAACTTAAGATTTATAAATTCGCAATGATATAGAAAATATATTCATAGAAGATTTGATGTTATAAATAACCAAATGTGCTGAAATGATAAATTTGGTTGTTTTATTCCAGTCAATTATTATAGATGATTGCATATTAAACTGGCTGTATAGTGCATTATGATTTTCTTTCTGTGTTGTTTTTTAAAAGAGTGGTTGCAACAGTCATTTGTAAGGTTTAGTATTAAAATTAAGTTTTTTGTTATTACATGTTGTTTTATATGAGAATTAAGTTATTTTGTTGGTTAAACCTTTAAGGCATAATCAATAATATATCTTATATAAATTCTTATTACAATAGCATTTAAGAATAATAATAAACAAAACTGCTTCTTTTTTATTCGCGTTATGATAAAATGACATTAAAGAATCTAAAAACAAATGCTTATTAGAACCTGTAAATCTATTTTAAGAGTTGTAATATTCAATTGTTAAAATTAATGATTAATTTTATATTAGATATATTATATTGGATGATAAATATGAAATATGTATAGATATAAATAGGAAGCTTACATAGTACTTAATGCACATAAGGTTTTAATACTTTATAAAATGGTTTCTTTTTCTTTTTTTATTTAAATCTTTTTTCAAAATTGAATTTAATAAACGTAAATTAAAATATCTAATTATTTAATAAGAGAGGGTAATCATAATATGTTATTACATAAA